ATCTCGTCACATTTAGTGACATCGAAGGTATAAACCTTCTTTGGGAATTTGTCACTTTTCTCATTTTCAACAACCTCTTTCCCTTTTGTGGGAACCAATAATTTGCAGGAGTAGGGTGGAGCCTGTTTTAATTCAGCGAGGTCGATTTCGACCTCTTCGAATTCGAATTCAGGATATTCTTCTGCTTCCTCAGCTCCAACATAGGAAATCCTTTCTTTCTTGCTATTCTTAAAGACTCTGGCTTTTTCAGCCTTTAGCCTTTCGACCTGTCGAACCCTATCGGCTAACTGAGCCATATCCCTCAAATATTGAGTGTCTAGTTTCTTTCGAATAGAGTAATCCAAACCACCAGCGGCCATTTCGACTAACTCATGTTCAGGCACTACTGTGTAACATCTGGATTTCAAAAGCCTAAATCTATTCAGATAATCATCTATGGGTTCGGTGAACTTTCTCTTGACACTGGCTAATTCCTTCAAGCTTATTTTCGACTGTCCCATGTAGAATTGTTCATGGAATAATCTCTCCAAGAGAGCCCAAGTATCAATGGACCCAGGAGGCAAAGTGGTAAACCATGTGAAGGCGTTTTTAGTCAAGGAACTTGGGAAGTATTTGATCCTGAGATCTTCATTATTGGCTATATCTCCCGCTTCAGTTAAATATCTCGCTATGTGTTCGACTGTTGACTCATTGGTATCCCCAGCAAACTTTGTAAATTTAGGGACTTTATATCCCCTTGGTAAATCAGTATGCATTATGCAATCTAATATAGGAGAAGCATAATTTGGCCTTCTCATTCCTGTGTTGAGGCCATTCTGGGCCATGACTCTCTCTATCATGGTGGTTAGATTATTTTCTGCCAAGATATTATCGTTTCGAATTCTATGAACGACAGCATCAACATCTTGATTTCGACCAACCAGGACAACTCCCCTAGGTTGTTCTTCTCGAAACTCTGGGGCTTCTAGCCTTTCGACCCTTGCCCCTGGTTCCATAATTTCTCTTTGTGGGCCTGAGATTATTGGGGCTTCTAACCTTGGTTCCCTTTCCCCCAAGTTAACTTCTTCTCTAGGTGGTCTATAAATTGGTTCGTTAGCAATTTGTTCTATAACAGGCATGTTTGCTCGAAATCCTGCCTGATTCTGCTTACGCCTCTCTGGGGGAGCAAAGAAATCTGCTATTTAACTCATGTTGTCAGCGTTTTCCCTGTTTGTCACAGTCACATTTTGTACTATTGGGGCAAATATTTCCTGCATAGTTTGTGCTAACACCCCTATCATATTATGGTTACTGTCATCCATCAATTTCCTAAAAGCCAACTGGTTTTCTGTGGTTAAAATAGGCATTGTGCTATAACCCACTGACCCTTGGTTGTTTGTCATAAACTGATTCGCCCCAGACCCAGACCCTAATTGTGGTGATGAATTTGATGTGGAATTGTGTAAACCTGCCATAAAAGATGTTGGCATTCCATAAGTGGAATTTCTGGTTCTATTTCCATCGAAACCGGGTGGTCTAGTTAGTGGAGTGGCGAAATGGGATTGTGTCCCTGATGGTGGAACGAATCCCCCAGGGTAACCAATGGTTCCAGTATTTCCTAAGATCGAACTATTAGTTGATATGCCACTTACTCCATTGGTGGCTATATTACTGGTTGAAGATGCAACAGACTGTGCATTCGAAGGGATCACATTAGATGTTCCCATCGAAGTGGACACATTAGTGCCTGTTGTATGTGGGACATTTTATTCCCCTTGTTGATTGTCAGAATTAGACATCTTGGTCAAACGTTTTCTTCTGGATAAGGGTTGATTGCTGTTGGTTATTTTACCACTTCTTAGGTTCATAAAACAGCGAACTTCTTAGGTTCCAACGTTTTTATAATGGTTATGTCTCAACAATCTTTATTTCTAATGTCCAATTATTGGTCCCACCGGGTGTGCCAATTTGTTTCCAGTGATTTCTGGTAAACAACCGCTAGTCTTCCAAACTATCGAATAAACTTACTGACTGTTATTGAATTTCTCTGGTAACTCACAGGATCGACTAGATTGATCCTAGGATCCCTTGGTCATTAGGGTAACTCTCATGATCGAACAGATATTCATGGTTGGTATTTGAGTGTTGTATAGGTGTTTGGCTTATTTCGATTTCTCTCTTAAAGGTCTAAAGGTGTAATCAAAATATGTGTGTACGAAACTAAATTGCATGAATAAATGTTAATTGTAAAGACATGTAAAATTGCATAAAAGGCAAGTAAATGGCTTCGAATTATAAAAACAGTTAATGTAAAAGATGTTCTGGAACGTAAAAGATTCGAAATATGAAGAAAGCGTTTAATGCAAGAAATCTGTAAATGACTTTAAGTAAAAATAGACTTTCGAAAGACAAAACTTGAAGATAAAGGCATGAAAAGTATGACAGTTTTCTGAAATGTAAAGTGCTTGAAATGTAAAGAAAGCATTAAAATGTGAGGTTTTAATGAAAAGATTTCGAAATAAAAAGACTTTGAATGAGAAAACTTGTAAATGGTATTTGGCAGAAAGATAAAGGAAAGTGCTGGAAATGATAAAAGGTTTTCATTAAATCATAAACATGTGGTGCTATCATACGTACATTGCTCTTGCATTTGTTTCCCTTGCCATGTGGTAATTTGAATGTTACTGAGTATTTAGTACAATAGATATGACACACGAAATCCTAATACTAAGACTTCTATTTATACTAATTCGACCATAACGGTCTTGCTATAGGATTATGCCACGTTCAGAACATGCAGAACAATGCCTCTCTCTTCTTTCCACGTGTCTCCAAATGCTCCAGCACATAAATTTCAAACTTCGAATGTCCCGCTTCCATTTGAATTTCAAATGTTTTGGTATTTCTCCGTTTCGAACGCACTTCTCAGACACAACCTTGTTGTTATTTCGAGACTTCTTTAGATATGTTCCCATAATTGCCACTCGAAGCTTCAAGCTTTGATATGCTTATTCGAAACACTGCTTCTGCTATTTCGAAACATGATGCTTTGTTTCATTTCGATCGAAACGTTCAATTCACTTGGCCTCTAATAATATTATCAAAATCTTCAGCCAACAGTGTGCAACAGTCGACTTGATATAGGTTTCGCAGTCGGATTAGTAAGCAGATATACTGGTGAACCAAGAGTGTCACATATGAAGGTTGCAAGAAGAATCCTTCGATATTTAAAGGGTTCAATAAATTGTGGTATACTATTTCGACGAGATTCTGAAGGCAAAGAAGTAATAGTTAATTGTTTTTCAAATGTTGATTGGTGTGGAGATAAGGAAGATCGAAGAAGCACAACTGGATATTTCTTTTAAGTATTTGATGCCCCAATCTCATGGTGTTCGAAGAAGCAACATATGGTGGCATTGTCATCGTGTAAAGCTGAATATGTAGAAGGATCCTATGTTGCATGCCAAGCAATTTGGATCAGATCTGTACTTGAAGAAATGACTGTCGAAGTGAAGAAACCTCTAGTATTGCAAATCGACAACAAGTCAGCCATAAATCTGGCGAAGAATCCAGTTCTGCATCGAAGAAGTAAACATATTGAAGCAAGATTTCACTTCTTGAGGGAAAAAGTAAATCAATGTGAACTTGAAGTTACACATTGCTTAAGTGAAGCACAGTTGACCGACATTTTCATCAAAAGATTGAAGTTCAACAAATTCCTAAATTTGAGAAAGAAATTAGGAAAAGTTCATATTGACTATTTTTGAGGATGTTCGACAACTTGGATTATGGGGGTGTGTTGAAATATTAAATTAGATTAGATTAAATTTAATATTTAATATAATTCAAGTTGTGTTAGTCCAAACCCAATTAGAGTTGTATATAAATAATCATAGTGTATATCATTATTTGTATATTTGAATAATATAAATTATTATTTTTCTTTATTATTCTCTCTTTCTCTCTTTACTAAAAATATCTCACGCACTAACATAACAATACTTTAGACATTCCACAATCATTAAACAATGACTTGGATTCAAATCGATTTAGAATATCATCAATAAAGATTCAAGTTCATATTTACACTCGTCTCGAAAGAAATGTGAAACGAATTGATTACTTGATTTTGAGAATTGAAACATGATAACTTGTAATGGTGACGTAGAACTCGACAGAAAACAATCAAGATTACTACAAATGCGATAAAAGATGGCAAAGGAAATTTTTTAAGATTTATGTAAGATGAAGGAAGAAGATGATGAAATACGATTTCTATTTTCAATTATTCTTAAATGATTAATGATAAATATAATAACTAGTGGTGTAAAATATTAATAATAATAAAAATATTTTTCCTAATTTTCTTTTAAATGACATGACAATCATTTGTCATGTTTTAACTGGAGAGGTCTAGATTATCTATTATAAAATTAAAGATAATTTATTTTCAATAATATATATCAATAAAATTTTATTATATAAAATTAATTTTTAAAATCACATTAATCTAAAATTTTAAAATGTTGAATCTATATTTTTTCTTATTAAAAAAAATCCAATATCACATTTTTTATCTAATGAAAAGTTATTATTCAAAAATAAATTATATATTATTTTCTTAATTTCATTTTAATTATTTAAAGTTTTAAATTAATATATAATTTTAAAATTTTATTTTATATAATTAATTTTAATTGATACACGTAATAAAAAAAAGTAAATTACCTCTTTAAATTTTATAAGGGACGGCTAAAAATTTAGCGTCTTAAACATTTTCGGTCGACATTCTGCACCGGTAGTTTCTCCCACAAGCACCGCACCGATGTTAATTAAAATTTATCATCATTCTGAAACCACATGTCCGATCCATCTAAATCAACGTGGCAGATGCTGTGTAAGCAACAGTGGCAGTCCTGCTACTCCTCACCAGCACCGCCTAACCTTTCAAATATATATACTCTCTCCCTTTGATCGATTTCCATAAACTGTATAAACATTTGTTTCTTCAAATATTCAAAATGGCACAACAACAACAACACCGTGATGATCTTCAACATATTTCTAGAACCAATGATAGTGAGATCAATGACCGTGATATTCGGAAGAACGACGGAATATTCGGAACCGGAGCTCCCGCGGACCCAGTAGCATTGTACGCTTATGAAACAACTGGTAATGCTCCTGGTATTGGTGCTGGTGTTGGTGACATGCCAGAGTATGGAGCAAACATCACCACAACCACTGAATACACTGCTGTGTATGGTACTACTGCTGCTCCTGGATTTGGTGCTCCAATGGCCGGTGCTGCAGCTGGAGGTGGTGTAGGCCCGTGGGGACAAGAAGCAAACGCTGATCTTCGTGCTGCCGCTGGAGGTCAGTGGGGACAAGAAGCAAACACTGGTCGCGGCAGTGCTGCTGGAGGCGGCCAGAGAGGACAAGAAGCAAATGTTGATCGTGCTGCTGCTGGTGTGGACAATACTGGAAAGAACAAGAACATGAATGTGGGTAGGGATCAGAAATAAAGAAGAATCATTGATCAACATATATAACGCTAAATTAGTTAAGGTTGTGTGTTGCTATAAATAATGTTACACTATCATATAGAAGATCTTGCTAGTAAGAAGAACGAAGTCTCTTTTCTCTTGTAACCAAAATATATTAAAAATAAAGGCTGCTTGTTTTTGTTTTACTAATTATTAATAAATCTATAATAACGATACCAACTAGCGATAAAATAACACCGACTAGCAAAAATTGCTGATTGCATTAAGCATCAGAACAAACTATCTACCTATTTTCTATGATGTGAGTCCATCAAACGGAGTTTAATTTCAAGAGCATCAAGAAAAATTCAAAGCTAAACTACTAACGGAATTTCAAAGAAACTAAAGGAATTGCAAAGATGGAGAGGAGCCCTAATTATAACAACATAATTATAAGAAATTAATTATGACAAATTTTAATAAAATTATTTTTTTATTTACGCGAAAAATATAAAAAAAAAGAATGTGAGGAAATTCCTTGGTAAAACATGAAAGACGCGTGTCGACTACGAATTATCTTTGCTTGATATATTGCTGCACAGAATTAGTAAATGGTTTGAGAAATAGGAAAATCTAGCTCCACATAATTCAAAGATAATATTGAAAAATCCCCTATATTTAACTTCATCATTATAACGAGAGAGATTGGCTGTCTTAGACCAAAAAACGTATATTATGATGGAGTTTTTGAGTCATTAAAAAAATATCAACCTATCTTGAATTAAAATAAATTCAACGTCGGTTTTTAATAAATTCGACATCGGTTTTTAATAAATTTGACAGATAAAATTATATTAGATAAAATTATGTTTTTAATAAATTTGACAGATAAAATTATATTAGATAAAATTATATTATTTTGGACGTGTTTCAAATCCTAATTTTTATAATTTATATTTTATTTTGATAAATTATAATTTATGTTTTATTTTGATTATTATAATTGTAAGTTAAATTAATTAACCCTTCGATGCTTCAATATAATAGAGGGATCTACCAATCAAATTACATTATAAAAAACAAACAGATTTTACTTAATCTTTACTTATTTTTATTTATAGCTGCCCCAAACTTGAAATTGTTGGAATGAATTGCAAAACAGAAAAGCTTTAATGTTCTTATAGAAAAATGTTTTTTCTGTCTTTGTAATTTATCTCATACAATGGTGTTGATGTTGTTTTTGGTGTTGTATTTTTGTTCATTTGAAAGATTGCACGTGCAGAAAATTCATTCTCCCTTCATGGAGACAGAAAATGAAGAAAGTCAAGTTCCCTTCTATATTCAAAAGTTTAATTAATCAGATGATGGATATCAGCGAAGATATTATTCAAAGGAGCAGAATTTTTTTTTTGTAAGTTAAAAAAAAAACATAACACCTCAGCTTTTTTAAAAGACCGAGGTGATAGATAAAATCAAAATATAATATACCTCGGTTTTTAATGTAAATCTGAGGGGTAAAGTAATCAACTTTTACTATAAATACCTTAGTTAATCATATTTTACCCCCTAACTTATATATGTAGCCGCACCAGATACAAGAAACATTTACTACTATACATTGCCATGAAATTTTTTTATCTAAAAACGCTTAAGAACAGATCTCTAAGATGGATTGCAAGTGCATAAATTAAAATAACTTATCCGAAGATGGGTAAGTTATGGAGTGTTTTTTGGATATGTAACATAAAGGTATGCAACAAAATTTGGATTCCACCAAAGATCTGTTGTTGAAAATATTTTCTTCTGTGATTTTGTCTACTTGCCGATAAATTTATTATAATATTATTTTCCTGATATTCTTTGTAAACAATGTAAGAAAAAATTATTTCCACCTCGATTTTTCTCAAAACCGATGGGAAATTTTAGAGTTAAATTAATGATATTTGTCACCGTCCTTAGTTAAATTCTTGTCGTCCATTTTATGACTATCAACACTCAATACACTACCACATTAGTGATCCGCGTGAAACCTAGGTTAACTTCCATTATAAAAACATTTTGAATATAAAAAATTGATAATCAAACGTCATGAAGTGCTTGAAATTATCCTCAAGTTTAAGATATGCAAGAGTCTTTGTTATGACGTGTTCTCTATGATGGATTGCAAGAGCAGAAAATTATTTGTGTTTAAGGTTTGTGTACTTAAACATTTATTTATCTAACCATTTTTTCATCTAACCCTTTATCTATCTAACCTTTTTTGTTGATCTCAGAAACAAATACAAGAAAAAGCCATGGCGAATATATTGTTTCCCAGCATTTGATCTTCCCAAGATATCAAGGACTTGAAGATCCAACATATGATCTTCATGGACAACTTAAATTTTGTATTGATATTGTGTAAACAATGTAACCGGTTTAATATTCTGGGTAAACGTTGTATTTTATAAATAAATTATTTTATTAATTTTATGTGTAAACAATGTAACCAGTTTAAATTTAAAAAAACTAATATGTTACCCCTCAGTTTTATTGATAAACTGAGATACATGAGGCGTTATTATTGTCAATAATAGAAATACAGACGGTGTGGATCGAATCCACGCGCTATTAAAATACCCCTCTGTGTTTTAAACACTGGGGTGAAAAGTATTTACTTTTCATGACGACCTTATTTACCTCGCTTCAGATGTCAAGGTAAAATGCATTTCACGTTCGACATTAGGTATGTTATTTGTAGTAGTGATTTGTCCTAATTAGAGCTAGTGTAGGAGATAAGCTTTATAATGGAGGATGATGATAAATGTAATTCAAAATGTATGATGCCCTGGACATAGTGAAGAATACGCTTGAGTGTAAGCACGTGTTCCGTGCAATGTGCATGCATGTGAAGACAAACTTGTTAAACTGTATATGATATGTCAGGTCGAGTGAAGGTGATAAACTATAAAGTCCCGGCAAGACTTTGATATAGAGAGTGATCCTCATAAGGAGTATCAGAGGAGATGTTGAGTTTCTGCTCGGTGTGGACAAGAGTTTTTGCTTTGAAATAATTAAACAATTATACTATTTAATAGATAATTAAATATGTTAAAACTAAATGGTATCATGTAATTGGTTGAAGGTAAAATACTCATTTTTTTGTGATGGATGGAGAAGTTATTCTCAATATATATAATTAATGTATAACATTTGATCAATTATATAATTATGATACAACATAATTACAACAAACTAATTATGACAAATTATAACAAAATATTGTATTATACCACATTTCAGTAATCGAAGTAGGAGGTTCACAAATGCTTAGACTGGTTTGAAAATCATTAAAGAGAACGCGATAAAGTTCTTTGGTGAAGATGTAAGTGATCTAGTGTCTAGAGGGAACATGATCTAGTGTCTGGAGGGAACATGAAGGACACATGCCTGACCACAAGCTATATTTTTTTGAACAAAATAAATGTCTATCACAATATGCTTAGTACGCTCTGATGCTGCAAAAGATTACCATATAGATATATGACATTGACATTGTCACAATACAACAAAGTGGCATTTGTCAACGCCTTAATATTCAGCTTCAACAATAAAATAGGTTGCCTTTTAGAAGATCAAAAAATAAGGTTGTCACCGAGAAAAAAATATTAACCAAATGTAGAGTGTTTAGCGTTAGAACATTCACCCTAACCAACATCAGTGTAGTAGATAAGCTTTGTAATGGGACATTCACCAATCAACATCAGAATTTTTCTTATGCCTAAAAATTCAAATACATCGAATAAGATTAGCATCACAAAGTTGTGAAACTAAATTCTATATCTTTTTTCAAATAAGAGCATCAAATTCATATTGCATTATGAATTTATAATTCGGATCAGATAAGGCTAGCTAAGGGTTTTTAGTTATAGGAGAGATGGTATGGTCAAGTAGAGAAATTGATAGGGTGAATATCTTGTGGGGTTTGACAATTCATTTTATGCTATGGATGGTGATAGTTCATGTAGGTGGAGGTGCAGTTGGTTGGATTGGTGGTGGTGAGGGAGAGAAGGTTGCAGTTGGTGAGGTTGTCTGGTCGATTGTGGTTACCGATGTTGTTTTGTTATTTGCATCAAGCTGTAACATTTGATTTCGCCACTAATATATAAGGTAAGGGTGTGGGTAATCATTTAGGAAGTCATAAGAGTGAGGGGAAGGGGAATGTATCTTGGTAAAGGAAAATTGGATTCCAGTGAAATTATTATATTTTTGCTTGACAAATCAAAATACTTGTAACCTCTATGATTCAACGAGTAATCCAAGAACACACAGAGTAGAGCGAGGTTGTAACTTATGACCATTAGAGGGCAGAAATAAAGGATGACATAGACAACAAAAAACTCGTAGATGTGTGTAGGTGGAGTCCTGGTGATATAAGAGTTGTGTTGGTGACTGATTTTGAAGTATTTTATCGGGAATAATGTTTAAAAGATAAGTTGCCATTTGAAGAGCATAGTGTCAAAAGGATGTGGAAACAGAAGAATGACCTAGCATAATACGTATCATATTATTAATGATTCTGATTTTGCATTTCGCTTTCCCATTTTGTGAGGATATGAGAAACAAATGACAAGGCCATGATCAGTGCAATATTTGCGAAATAGCTCATTATTAAGTTCACCACCATTGTCACATTGAAAACATTTTATATTTTTCAAAAATTGTGTGTGAATAAGGTTTGTAAGTGACGTAAACATTTCAAATACTTGGAATTTTTTTCTAATAGAAAAGGTCCATAAGAAATATGTAAAATCATCCAAAAATAATACATAATATTTATGACTGGCATAACTTAAAATTGGAGATGTTTACAAATCACTGTAAAATATTAAAAGGGATTAAAAATGGAAATTTAACATGTTTGCCTACTAGAGTCACACATAGTAGAAGAATTAAAAGTTCCACAACATATGAACTTATTATTGCAAAGGAAATGCAAAACATAAATGGTAGTGTGACCCAGGAAACTATGCCAGAGACTAGAAGTAAGACCGAAAAAA